CATGTGCTTGAACTTGGAAGCCGACAACGTCGGTGTCTCCATCTTCGGTAACGATCGTCTCATCCAGGAGGGTGACACCGTCAAGCGTACCGGCCAGATCGCCGACGTCCCCGTCGGCCCTGCTCTCCTCGGTCGTGTTGTTGACGCCCTCGGCAACCCCATCGACGGTAAGGGCCCCATTGAGGCCACCCAGCGTAGCCGTGTCTCGCTCAAGGCGCCCGGCATTCTCCCTCGTCGCTCGGTGAACCAGCCCATGATGACTGGTATCAAGCCCATCGACGCCATGGTGCCCATTGGTCGTGGTCAGCGTCGCGCTCGCGCTGCTTCCACCCCCCGTCTGCCGTTTGCCCATTGCCGAGCGGTTGCCGCCGACGCGGTTTCGCTCGGCGCAGCTTCCACCACCGCCACTGCCGTCTGCCCCTCCCCGCGTGCGAGCAGCCCACGCGGTTTCGCTCAGCGCCGCTTCTACCCCCGCACCCGCCATTCGCCCAGTACCGAACGCGAGTCGCCAACGCGATCGCGCTCGGTGTCGTCTCCTCCTCCCGCCCTCTTTCACTCAATGCCGAGTGCAAACCGCCAACGCGGTCGCGCTCGGCCTTGTCTCTCTCCATGGCGCCTACCTTCGTCCAGCGCCAATCGTGAGCCGCCAACGCGGTCGCGCTTGGCGCAGCTTCCCTCCCCTCCCGTTCGCCCAGCCCGGAGCGCGAACTGCGTACGTCTTCCGCTCAGTGTCCCCGCTGCGCCAAAGCACCCACCTCCATGGTGCCAGTGCGCTCGACATCTGCTGCGCCAACGCGCTTGCCCCTGCCCGAGCCCGCGCGTTTGTCCCGGACTGCGCCAATGCGCTCAACGTGTCCGCCTTCACCTGCGTCAACGCGGCCAGCTCCGCTGCGCCAATGCGCCCGATGTTCGCTGCGCCAACGCGCTTGCTCCGGACTGCGCCAAGCCCGCTGCCTTGCCATCCCCCACCCGGCGCACCCGTGCTCGACCCCACCTTGCCTTCAGTGCTGGACTCTGCAGCAGCGCCATGCTCCATCCCGCCTCGCCGCTGTGCTCCATCCCGCCTCGCCGCTGTGCTCCATCCCGCCTCGCCGCTGTGCTCCATCCCGCCTCGCCGCCGTGCTCGATCTACCCAGCTGCCGTGCTTGACCCTGCCTCGCCTCCCGTGCTTGAAGCTGCACATCTCCCATGGTCGAAGGCACGTGTTTCCAGTGCTCGAAGCTCCCGGCAATGGGTTACGCTTGGTCTCTCGCCCGCTGCTCCCGACCTGCTTTACTCATGCCCCACTCGATGCCACTCCGGCACCCCACGCTTGGGGTGTGCCGCAGTTGATTTGACATGCTCATTGCAGCAGGCTCGACGCACACGCCATGGCCGGCTGAACTCTAACCATAGAGCTTATTGTAATGTAATACATCAATGCCATCTGTTTTGGCTCCCCATGTGATATGACACAATTAGAAGAAGATGGAATCATACATATGTATACAGATTCCTGCATAATGTAATTATAATACCTGATGAATGGATAGTACACATGACCAAATTCTGAAGACATCTAACAAGATGTGACATGAAGTCTGGAGGTTTCTGGTGTTATTTGAACCAAAATATATCATATTGAAGAGATGATTGATGTTACAAATCACCAAAATATGCCCAAAAAGTTCATAAATTTCCACATATTTGTGAACATTTTGTGACAAATGCTCAGGGGGACCTTCCAGATATCCTCATTTTTGTACTTATGTGCTCCTATTAGCTCCTATATGTTCCTATATACTGTAAAAGGCCCCAAAATGGCTTTATCTGCATGGATAGTCCAGTAATTACTTGACATCCCCCCCCCTTTATGATACT